AAAGCAATTTGAGAACACTCATAGCCATCATACTGTTCTCATGAGAACAGTAATTGAGTCTGAAATTTCGAACACTGGTCGCGTGTCAAAAAACTATTTCAACCATCATAGAAAAAGTAAGAGAATTAATAAATTAGCAAGCAGAAAGTCAGAGATATTGGAATGAACAACTTCAGAGCACGATGGATAACTATTTCAACCAACTGGAACAAGTCAACTGGAACAATGCGATAAGTCAACCCGCAGAAAACCAATCAGCAGGAAATGACCAAGCACCTAATATATCACCAATTACAGTAAGTTCAGTGATTGAAGCAAAGGAAGACCCGCCTCAAGGTAATTATCCACCTACACCAATCCTTAATTGCAAGTTTGAAAATATAACACTACCAGGGGTAATGGCAATGTCAAACATAGATAACAATCAAGAGTTTCAAAATCAGACAAACAAGCCACTAGCAATCAAAAAAGGGAGTTATAAGTTCCCAGTTATAAATTATGAAGCATTTAAGTAAATGCCTATGACAAATAACTTCGTCAACTCCCTGGTAACCAAAATTAGAAATATCAAATTATAGTAGGTGACAAACTAGTTCAAAGGGCAAAAAAATAATAAAAATGTTAGCACAAAAACTGAATTTAACATCATGAATGTAGAAAGTCAATTGTATTAGGTTCATATGTAGATCTTCAAGAATTCACATACAAAAATCTTAAGTCCAACATAAAATTTCTGCATGATGAAACACCTTTGCAGATGTCAGAAGGAGAACTCATATCCATTCGTAAATGCAAACCATACAACAAGTTTAACGATATATTTGAATAGTTATTAGCCTTTAGAGCATATATAGAAGCAGTGGTAATTATATATAAACCCAGAGATCAAGAGTTAAATTTCTACTGGGATCACATAAGCAGCCTGTGCACAAAATACAAATTTACTGCGATAATGGCCTACAATGGAATCGATGAATAGTACTGGCTATGGATCGAGATTTGACATTGTTTGATCATAATATTGAAGTGTAAAGGGATAACTTTGACATTACAACAACAAAAAAATACAAAGTAAACAAACCTAGGTCAAACAGAGCTTGTATGATGGCAGAGAAATTTGCCTTAATTGGAACTAAAGATACTGTGGTGATGAGAAAAAGTGCAGTTGTATCAACACATGCCTCGTGTATAAGAAGACAGAGCACACAGAATGCAGGTGTTTTTCAAATAACACAGCGTCCAACAACACGATAAAAAGGCAGAAAAATCAAGCTGAGGGTCAGAATTAAAAAAAAAAAAACTGCAAACAAATAGGAAATACATATATGCATATAAATAAACAAAAAGTAAGAAGAATATGTATATACAGTTATAGAAATACATATATCCAATATATAAATAAACATATATATTACTAAAAAAAAATTATATTAACGAGGATGGATCATAATAGCAACACATGTTTTTAAAATAGAATTGTAAAAATGATCAAACTAACATAGGAATTAGGCACACCAGGAATTTTCGCTACAAAGCCTGATTCAAACTCTCAAGAAATATAACAATATATGAACTACTGATTCTTCAATCAGTCAACAAGACATTAATAAGTACCCCGCCAAGACAAATGCAATACACTACTGATGAAATTAAAATATTAATCCAATTAGACCCTAATCATTTTAATGTTAATACAGCAGTCAATATTAATGCATTCAAAATGCTTACAAAGTAATACCCTAATAGTCCTTTTATAAATTATTTAATTAGAGGCCTAATACAAGATTTAAATTTAATTTCTCAGGACCAAGAACAAAAATGACACAAACAAACCTAAAATCAATTGAGCTAGACCCCATATCATTGGGTAAGTACATCCAAGAAGAAATGCACAAAGGCCATATATGCGGTACTTTTTCTAAAGAAAAACCCCTGTGTGATCTATACCAAGTCAATCTATATAGCTTGGTAGAGAAGAAGGGTACAAACCCAAAGGTTTATAGGGTTATATTATACCTGTTAGCTCTATTTGGCTCTAGTGTAAATAATAGCATTAACAGTGTAAAATTTGTGACTAAATATAAGAATGTAAATTATGCTATACACTGGATTAATTTATATGGCAAAGAATACATGCTATCCAAGATAGACATAAAGGATGCATACAGGATATTACTGGTTCACCCAGTTGATCAAGTATTGCAAGACATGGGGTACGAGGATAAAATTTATTTTGACAAAGTGCTAGTATTCAGAAACAAAGTATCTGGAGACATTTTTTGCAGATTTGCAAACACAATAGTTTGGATTGCAACACAGCAGGGCATCAAATCAATAATACATAATGTTAATGATTTCTTGATTATCTCAAAATCTAATAGTAAAAAAAAAACTACAACAATTTTTGCGCATTCTAGATACGATTAACGTTCTATTTAAGGAATTGAAGCTCAAAGAACCCGGCACCAAGATTACGTTTCTAGAAATATTGATTAACACAGATAAAATGTCAGTATTAATTCTACAGCAAGAAGAAACAAAAAATAAACAAGCTACTTTCCAAATGGTGTACCTGGAAATGTTGTTACAAGAGGGAGCTCCAGTTACTAGTTGGCTCTCTGATGTAGTTGTGTCAGGTAGTACTACAAGGTAGGCTGTTCATACAGCAGCTTATAAAGCCCAAGAGACATCTAGAAACCTGAAACATCACATAAGAATAACAAAACCTATGATGAAGGATATACGATAGTGGAAAGGTATTATAGAACAATGGCCAGAAACATACTTAATAAAAGATCAGATATGGCAACAGCCAAATCTAAATAACTTATATATTGATGCATCAAACATCAGTAGTGGTGCAACATTCAAAGGCTATTTTATGCCATTTACATGGGCTGACCAGTTTACAGCAACCCACTACAATATCCAGGAATGAGAAATCCTAACAATATTAATAGCTATCTGCACCTTCTCCTCTTATGGGTCAGAAAAAGACTTATAGTATTAACAGACAACCAGGAAAACGCAGAAGCATATTACTTTAGTTGTTGTAAAAATATTAGCATAAACAATATTATAGCCCAAATATATGAAATCTAGATCCAAAAGAATTTCTCTATAAAATTAGAACATATAGCAGGAAGCTTGAACACAGATGCTGACCTTTTATCCCAGAGTGGACACAAAGAATATATAACCAAAAACCCACTATCTCATTACCTCTATCTCAATATCCCTCCAGAATTTACTAACAAAGTAACTATTATTCCATCTCTAATACAATAGGATATTATAGATCAAGAAAAGAGCCAAGGTTAAAGGCACAGAAAAACAATAAGGAAACAAACAAACCACACCAAAAGATTGAATAGAATAATAATATAACACCACTAGACAGGCAAGCAGCAAGAATACTAAATGTAGACCCTCCCAAACATAAGATATATAAGGCCATAGTGAAAAGATACCAAATACTTGCCATGGAACATCAGTGGTACAATATAGATGGCAATGTATAGCCCATATCCAAAGAATCATTAGTCAAATTTATCATGCTATTAAGTGACAAAGTTACTCCACCAATGATAAAATCTTACCTGACAGCACTTAAAAATTATTACACAATGAACGCATATAACTGGACCCATGTAAGAGAAGATCTGTTGATAAAACAGATACTTAAAACCATAGAAGCAAATCACCAGCACATACTTGTAAAGCAGAAAACACATATTACATGAAGTCACTTAAGACTTATAAAGCAAAATTTAAACCAGAAAATTCAGATGATTTGCTTTTTTGGTCTATAGCAGTGGTAGCGTTTTACAGTATCATACCTAAAAGCTTCTTCTCTAAGACTCTCAAGAGATGGGGCCAATATAGTATGTCTACTATATCTATGGTGATATGAAAAGTAAATAATAAGGGTTAAGTCAATTTTATGACTTATTAAAGATAATTTATATAAGGCTTTATCGAAAGAGGCACAACTACTAATATATATGAAAATATATTAGATTGTATTGAATTTTTTATAGTAATAATGTTAACAATGAACGTCTAAGTCACATGGTCACGTGATAATGTTCAAAAATATTTTATTAAGAAGAATAATGAAATTTAACATGTATGAAGACATGGCTACTTTATCTAACCGATAAAGCAACTAAATAATACAAAGAAGATAAAAAAATAACTATTATTATGGGTAAGAATTCTATACTAAGAAAGTTCTATCTTGCAAATAAGGGAAAAGCAAGGGCTTTTTATACATATTTTGGGGAAGTATCTCTTTAATATTCTATTCTTTTGTTGGTTTTTTCCAATTTTAAACTAATACATCTTTTAATTTCAACTTGCTTCTAAGCGAACCACTTGGTTAATTTCACTGATAATTAAGAGACGTGATATATTTTGTGCCTTACGCATTGTTTTGCAGATTATGCACCTTTATGGCATGCATACTGCGGCTTCCGAGAACTAAAGGGACCCCAATTTTTCTAGTGTAACAATGGGTTAGCACACCTCAGCAAGCTACTGCCAAATGAAAAAACAGATAAAGACAAAGTGCCCAGCCTTAAAGCACTTAAGTTTGAGAAAGTTAGGTCATTAACGTTTGTGACAATCCAGCTTACACAGACCAAAAATTATAAGTCAGCAAACAGAGTATCATTAGTAATAAATCCAACAAAAGATGACTTATGTCCCATCCAAGCACTAAAAGTGTATGTGATCTGACGTACAGACATAGCATACACACCACACAATGAATTATTGTTTTCAGATCCAATGGGTCCTGGTCATCAAACGGTGATTTTGCAACAAGCTAAAAACAATCCTGCCTAATGAAGATGTCACAGGACACAGCTTCAGAGCAGGTGGGACAACGGAACTAGTGATACGTGGGGTCCAACCAGTAATGATACAAAAAATAGGAAGGTGGGATTCCGACACCTTTTATAGGTATATCAGGGCACACCTGGAAATGATAGCCCATATCCTCATCAGGGCATACTCTAAATAACGAAAAAAAAAGGGGAAAATTGACAAATACATAGGCAACAGAAACACAAGTACAACCTCACCAAAAAAAAAAAAAGATTTTGGAATCAGTCCGCTCATAAAAAAAAAAAAAAACAGCAGAATACGGAAGACAGGACGAGGTTTACCGAACAGCGCTGATCTGTAAATACAATAAAAATATATATAATAAACACATATATATTAGTCAAAAAAAAAAAACAAGTAAATCAACGATATAGACATTCAGTATAAAGGATATATAATATTATAGTGATTGATTAAAATCTTTATATAATAAATAGACTGGTTATATAAACCCTGCTAATTATTAAACCTTTTAATTAATTTAAAATCTTTAATTTTATAGGTCTTTCCGTTACAAAACTTAAAATTTACGAAGATGCATGTGTTGTTAGGGTGTTTCATATCGGCCTAATTACAAACATAGTGCAGGTGCTATAGTGATGATCACTAATTAAGATTTTTTATAGTAAAATTTTGCAGATCTGCGTTCTATATTAAACGATTATAAAAAAAATAGAATTACTACGCTTTTAATTCCTCCTGTAATATTTAACATTTTTTAATTCTATAAAAGAAAGATGTTTAATGAAAGGAACCTTTATATTGTAATAACGTCAAATTTTTATTTTACTAATTAAAATATACAATGGCTTGTCGGAATATCTACTATCGCACGATTTACAAACATAATGCAGGCCACATGGTAAATCATTGGCCGGGCTTTTTTAAAAATTTAAATTCAATAGCTCTCGAAAAAATAAACATGTGAAAATAAATTTATGCTTGCTGGAACCTTCTTATCGTGCTCTTTAAATTAATAACGCCTTTTTTTTTATTTTATTTAAGTGTCATTATATTTAATAATTAATTATCACCCTATTTAAAATAAAAAAAGCCCGGCCAACGATTTACCATGTGCCTGCATTATGTTGTAAATCGTGATAGTAGATATTCCGACAAGCCATGATATATTTTAATTAGTAAAATAAAAATTTGACGTTATTACGATATAAAGGTTCCTTTCATTAAACATCTTTCTTTTAAAGAATTAAAAAATGTTAAATATCACAGGAGGAATTAAAAGCGTAATAATTCTACTTTTTTTATAGTCGTTTAATATAGAACGCAGATCTGCAAAATTTTTATCCCACTCTAATCTTTCTTTGTCGGCATGCAGCTGATCGTTTCTAATAAAGTTTATGATTAGCATTAGTCATCTTATTTATTGGTTGCTATCTTACTCATGATCCGCCACATTTCCTTTTGGACTAAAACAGAAGGGATTTTCGTATAAAAATTTTATATATTCTGATCGTTCTGTTCAGAACGTTCGGATCGTTCAGTTCGGAACGTTCTGAACGTACCCCCAAAATTTTTTTATCGTATTCGGATTGTATTTATAAGATTCAATAAGTTAAAACGACTTTTGATTCCATAATTCGATGTATGCATTGCTATGAAACTTTATTTTGAA